TTTGCAAGAAGATCCTGACAACAGAGCATAGTTGGGAATTGAAGGAATACAGGTTAGGCTGGAAAGGATCTTGTCTGTATTCCATGATAATGCAGTTAGGACTTATCCTGAGAGGGGGAAGGGTGTTGTTAAAATATATTAGGCAAAGGAGTGTGCATTTGCCTTTAGAAGAGTTATTTTGGGAGCTGTGGGAAACACATTGGGACTCGGATAGAGAAATGTTTGAAGATGGAGTTAGGAAGTAGTTAGGAGGGTATGGAATCATTTCAAGGAAGAAGAGACAAGTGTCTAATTCATTCATTCAACAGACATTGGATTTAGGAACTWTTAAATAGGTTGAACCTATCTAGAATTCTCCATGACTAAGGAAAGAGAGGAATCTAGCATGATTCCTAGGTCCAAGTCTGGTTGACTGGGAAAAAATAGAGAGGTGAGGATTTGAGAGGAGAGGAGAGAGGGGCTCAGTAGGTTAGTAGACATGTTGACTTTGAAGTTACTGTAGTATATCCAAGTGGAAATGCACAACAGACAGTTGATTGTCCAAGGTCTGCAGTTTAGATGAAAGACGGGACTTTACTCAGAAGTAAAAGTGTTCAGGTAGATAAAGCCTGAGAGTGAGAGGTAATACTTGGTGAGGGGGCACTGTCCCTTAGGAACACTGACATTTGTGGGAGCCAAGGAATATATTTCTAGAGAGAAAGGTAGGATGGGGTGGACAAGCAGGAGTAAAAGGCCCAATGAAGAGATACCATAGAGGATAAGACAAGGAGCTGCCCTCTGGCTCAAGAACCATGAAGTCAAGACAGAAAGGGAACTGTGCATATTTGACTTTTACGTGGGATTTTGGCAAGAGCTTGAGTAGTGAAGCAGTAGGGTGCAGTAGGTGTGGAGGCAGGTGACAGACTTAAGGAGTTGCTGGAGGTGAAGAAATATACACAGATTATAATTTTAGGATACTAGGAAAGACAAGCATGTGGGATTTTTAAAAACTGGTGGTTATTCAAGCATTTTTAAAAACATGTATATCTTGTAAATGGAGGAGGGGGATAGGGAGGCTGATAATTACTTTGTGAAAGTCCTTGAGATAGATGGGTTGGAGGCAGAAGTGGAAGCCAACTCTCACATGAAGTTAATTCATATTGTCTGAAAAGTAGGAAGTTGGAGAAGAGGCATGGATAGTTGGGATTGCAGGTAAGTTTATAGAGGGGTACTGGTGGTAGATTCTGGCTTCTCTGAAGGATTTAATTTGAATTAAGCAGAGAAAGAAGGTTCCTTTAGAGTGTGTGGGATGAGAGAGAAAAGGAAAAGGGTTTAAAAGTTGTTAAGAAGGAGAAAAAATGTACATGGAACACAAGAATAGGTAAAAGATTAAGGGCCTAGACAGGTGGGGACTAAAATAATCTTTTGCTATTCCCTAATGGCAACACTAATTTCCTTTCCCTTTTCTTCCCTCCCTCCCTTTCTTACTTTTCTTTTTAAAAATATTTTTGCAACACAAATTTTCTGAACAGTCTATGATACAGTGTCCCCTCTGTCCATCCACAGCACTCTATCCATGCAGAAAGGACAACAGTATGACCTTTCATGGTAAGAAGTACTTACCATGCCCCATATGAGAACTGTAAGCTCCTAACTTATATAATTCCTATATTATTGTCATCACTGTATCATCCCCTCTCCTGTCACAGTGATCATATCAGGTAATTCTCAATAGAAGCTTCTTGCATTTTAAAAATTTTTGAGCTGAACTCTCCTCTGACTACCATGGATTAGAGCTTCACTGCAGCTTTTAACCTGCTTTCAGGACTGTGATCTGAGATGGTTTGTGTTGGTGGAGTGTGTTGGTGGAAGTCGTAAGGTCCAGTGCTTTTGGCATTTGATATAAAGCAATTTTTCCTCTTGATTTGCTAATTTTCTTGTACTCTGCATCACTTTTGGTGCAATTTGTCTGCTTTCAGATTTCTGTAAGCACATCTTGTTTATTCAGAATTTCCTTACTCATGATAATTATTTTCCTTTATTTGCCCCCTGTATTTTCTATCTTTTCTTCACTTTGCTGTTTCATCAGAAGGCAACAAGCAAAGGAGAAAAACCCCAGATTAGATCATTTTTCCTACTTCGTAGTTCTTGATATGTGTTTCTAAAGGATGAAGTTATAATTAAGGTCTGCAGTGACATTTTTACACTACTCTCATTTATTACTTATTAATGTAAAAGGTTACTCAAAACATGGTTTGTTTTATTCTGGTCAATTTTATTTTAAATTTTACTGACAGCATTTTTTCTACTTAAGTTACTTTAGCTGTGAAAGAAGTAATGCAGTGCAATCAGTGCTTTCTGTGTTCTTTACCAAAGTTATTTTCTAAACATAGTTGTGCAATTATGTTGTGTTTAACAACCACTTCTCACCTAGAGTTTTCTCAAGAAGTTTGATAGGATAACAGAACGCTTCACTTTCATTTCTTCTACTAAAGAATGATTTTTAAAATTATTAAATTTTAATATTTTAAAATTATTTAAAATATTATTTTTAAATCTTTTAAGTGATTCAAAAGTGTACAGTGGACATGTCAAATTTTTTTTTTATTTCACTCATTAATTAAAAAGCAAACTAGCAAGAATGCAAAACACATTTGAAAGAGAGTTGGAAGAGTGAAAAGATTTATAAGCAGGAAGGAATGCTGAAATAAAGTTGCTAACAGAGGCAAACTTCGTCAGTATCCTTATCAGTAAAACATGATTTTTGGAATGTTCTTTTCCACCAGGTGGAAATCAGTTGCAAAACAAAATTTATTTGTATCTCTTAGGATACCAGTAATGTGCATTACAATCCATTTTCAACAACTTCTGGAATTATAAAAGAACCCAAAGTCAGTGAAAGACACTGGTCCTTATTGAGTCAGATAATTCCAAAGGATCTGATAGACAGTGCTCAGCACTCCACCGAAAGGACACCCAGTAATCTTTCTGTCCATTTCAGGTTCTTTCACATATTTTTTGACACTTGCCATCTTTTGTAATTCCAACATCATCACCCCTTTATACACTGTGGATTCTTCCCCTCCTTCCTTCTCTCTCAGGGGAAATAATTCACAACTCTGAGGTTTTTGAAGAATGCAATTTGAAGTCCAGATTTTGCCTGGAGCTTCCTAATATCTGGGTGGCTAGAAACAGAACTAGAAAGAAGTGAGCTGTGAACACCCACAGGTCTGCTTCAGAGGGCAAGTTCCCCAAAGTACAACAGTTTGGACCAGTCAGAGAGGGTCCAGATCATTACATTAAAATGCTGCACTGTCCAGTTTTTATAGTGTTGCCCTTTATTTTTACAGCACAGTATTGTTTAGAGAGCATTGGCCTATACATTTTTTCCTTTGATGTTCACCACAGTTTTATGAAGTTGCTGTGGAGTTTTTGTTTTGTTTTACAGTGCTAGAGATTGAACCCAGGGCCTATAGCATGGTTCACAGTGCTCTGTCACTGAGTTACATCCTCTACATCCCCAGTCCCCAATGTTCTTTTTTTTTTTTTTTAATCTTTTTTTTTTTTTCTGTGATTAGGATTGAACCTAGGGGTACTTTAACACTGAACTACATCCCCAGCCCTTTTTTTGAGACAGGGTCTTGCTAAGTTGCTTAGGGATTCACTAAGTTGCTGAGGTTGACCTCCACCTTGCAGTCCTTCTGCCTCAGCCTCCCCAGTCTCTGGGATTATAGGCATCTACCACCATGCCAGATCTTTTTATCCTCTTACTTATAGAGTGAACCAAGGTATAGAAAAATGAGTTACTTAAGATTACATACCAAAAAAAAATGATAGACATAGGGTTTGTGCTCAGTTTATGAACACCATCCAGGTCATATTCAATTCTGCATCCTTATGTTCAATTTTTTTCATTGGATAATAACTATGTTCTTATAATAATAACAACCTAAGCCCATGAATTTTGATTCTAGTTTATAGAGATGAAAGACATCTTAAGGACAAACTATTTACACTTCATTTATATTCGTTAGTGTTTTGCTGAGGAAAAAAAAATTACCACTTAGATAAAAGAGTTGATAAGAGGCTGAAGAACATGGAAGATAACTAGTTTCTCCACATTGTTATTCATTTTAGTTGTATACTGCAGCTACTGGCAATTTGTGCCATTAGGAAGAGTTGATGGAATACACCCTGATCATTAACAATATTCGCTCTTGGTTTCAACTTGTTTCTTGGCTTTTAGAGTGGTTTATGGTTTCTAAAAGGAAGAAATACCTATAATATACATTTGGAAATTGTTGTTCTGTAGATTCAGTGAAATATAGAAGTGGGGAAATGCCATTCAATTGTATCTAATCCTTTGTAAGGCTTGCATACAAAATGTCTATTGCTGTCTAGATTTGCAATGGGAAAATTGCCACAGAGAATTTTTTTCTCGTTAGTATTCTAAGACTTTCCATCTTTGTGGAAAGATGTGATTTGATGTATCCAATTTACTTTGTATATTAAAGTACAGTAGAACTGCCCCTCTCCTTTTTCTTTTAGGAATGTAGCATAAAGGTAGAGATAAATTTTATATCAGTTTAGCAAGTTATATGTAGAAGAAGTGTATAGCAGTTGAGAGTGAATATAGTATTTGGGTTGATTTTTCTCTTCAAAATTTTCCCATGGTAAGGACATATATCAATAGGCAGAAATGATTACTTCAAAGCTTTTAAAGCCAGATGACTATACCTGCATGTTCCAACACAGTTGCTGAATTTATTCCCAAGATGCATGGTAATGTATACTTTGTATTATTGAGTCTGGATAAAGAAAAGTTACAGTGTCATCTACCAGCTGTGCAAGTTAATACCTAAATAATCTGTTTTTCACTTTACTGTTCTTCCCTATTGCTGCACTACTTGCTTAAATGAACCCTGGAAGCTTTGCAGTTTATTTTAAGGATTTGTAACATACCTAAGATTTATAGTATAGAATTGTATAATTAATGAAATCTTTTTCTTTTTCTTTTCCAGGTTCAGCCCAGCTACTATTTAATAAAACCAAATCAGTAGAATTCACCTTTTGCAATGAAACTGTTGTCATCCCATGTTTTGTTATTAATGTGGGGGCACAAAACACTAACGAAATGTATGTGAAGTGGAAATTTAAAGGAAAATACATTTTCATCTATGATGGAGGCCAAGACAATGCTACTATGGACAGTAACTTTTCAAGTGCAAAAATCGCAGTCTCAGAATTACTTAAAGGAGATGCTTCTTTGAAGATGGATAAGCGTGATGCAAAAGTAGGAAACTATACATGTGAAGTAACAGAATTAACCAGAGAAGGTGAAACAGTTATAGAACTCAAATATCGTGTTGGTAAGTAATATAGTTTGAATATGGTTTGTCCCCTTTGAAACTCATGCCAAAACTGGATTGCCGTTGTGACTGTTGGGGTGGAAGGGCCTCTAAGACGTGATTGATTAGGTCATTGAGAGGGATTAAGGCCTTTCTTGAGAAAATGAGATATGACAAAAGAAGTCCCTCCCTTGTTCTTTTGCTCTCTAATACACATTCCACCCTTCCACCATGTCATAGTGCAATACCAAAAGCAGAGTAGATGCCTATACCATGCTCTTGGACTTCTCAGTCTCAGAAGTATGAACCAAAATAAAGCTCTCTTCCTTATAAATCACCCAGTCTCAGGCACTCTCTTATAGCAACTGTAAACAGACTAAGACAGTAAGACCTCTATAATAGCTTCCTCTTAGTCCTGCTACAACTGTGATCCTATTAGAAATGGAGCACCCTGGGACTAGGAACTCCTTTGAACCAGAAAGCAAGCCATTAATAATGAATGTGAGTATAATGTTTACCAGCTTAAGACCATAGTTTCTATCTTATTTGCTCTGCTTTAAAATTTTCCACAGTTTTAAAACTCATCAACTGATCATTCATTTATTTGTTGTGTGGCTCTCAAACTTTTGGTCTGGGGACTGTTCTATTTGGTTGATCAGTCCTGAGACATCTACTCTGCATTTCTGTTTACTGTCATCAGAAGTACTTTGTTTCATTTGATTAGTTTTTTAGTTTCTTTACAATTATTAGTTTCAGTTATTAATTTTGTTTTGTAACTTTTCCCTTTGACCAGGGGTTGACAAAAACAACACAGGAAGCTGTGCTTCCTCTACAGAGGATGAGAATCTAGATATTAAAAGTGAGGTTATCATGGGTGATTCATTTTCTTAAGGTTCTCAGTGCTGAGCCTTACTTAGAATAATATTTGGCCAAGATGTGGGGGAATAGGGATCTAACTTAATTGAATTTGTGTTTTGTTCATAGCACGATTCTGCCCTCTTTGCCAAACTGGGTTGTGTGAGGCCATGAAGTTAGCTGGAGTATACAGTCTTTTTGCTATTACTTGCTATGCTAGCTTATTTCTTCATCCACAAGAGAGGGTTTTTTTTTTTTTGGCTTTACATTTTTAAAGCTTTATTTTGCATCATCCAACATATTGCTGATCTTGGGGTTGACCATACTTTGGGATAGGATCAGAMCAGTTCATTGGATCAACTAGTTTCTTTCTATTCTTCTAGCCTTCACTGTTATGTCTCTTTACCCCCACTGGAAATGGGGTGTTTAGCTTGATGAAGTATTTTGACATCGCTCAGGACTGGGAATCAGCATCTTATTATTTACTGTATGATCTTGAGAAGTTGCTTCATTGAGTCCAAGTTGCTTCATCTCTAAAATGGGAATGAAAATAGGTAGATACTTACTTTTATGTGTTCTCCAGGATCTAATGAAGCCTTTGTATTAGAAGTTCTCTGAAAACTAATGTGTATTACAAGTGTTACTTGTTTTCCTGGGATGTTCATATTATAAAGGTATCAGGTTTTGATTGTGAGAGGGATTTTGCGCAGGAGAAACAGTCATGGAATGGCTCAGAGTAGACAAGATTTTGGAAGGCTTTCCTGCTCAGAAATCTTGCCTACCTTGTAATTTTTACTACTGATATTAATATGGGCAAAGGAGATTTTTTTTTAAATGTACAYATTTCAGAAGGGAGCTAGTCAGTCAGTCACATACATTGTGAGTGCCTGGAGGGAGATGATCAAATACCTGATTGAAATTTGTCTGGAGTAATGAAGCGTTTCATGGGAGTGAAAGAACAAATTCTGAGGGACAGTAACTTTGGAGGCAAGGTGGTTCACTGAGAAAACTGAAAACTGGTAAGAACCAAGACCTAAAAGGTCAGAAGATAGAATGAAAATGAATGGTAAGGGAATACCAGTATCTGAAATGAAGACAAGGTTACATTTTGCATGTCATTGTTCTATTTTTCTTTGTTTTTAAAATACCATGTAAAAAACTTATTTATATTTAGATGAGAAAGTATTATTTTATTATAGAGAATATAGAACAATTTACCAAAGGACTGAAACATTTGACACCCATTTTTATTTTTTAAAATAATTATTGATTCACAGAAAGAGGTGCTGTGTCCCCCTCTTCTAGTCTTCCCTAATGGTTATATCTTGTGTAACTATGGCATAATATCAAAAGCAGGAAGTTCAGTGTGTTTGAGTGTTTCTCTGTCATTTCTACACATTGTTYTTGTGTAACTATCACAGTCGTTGGAATGGAGAGAGCTATTTAATTAACAGACATCTCTCTCATCAAACCTTTTATGGTCACACCCATACTTCCATTACCCCTAATCTGACAAGCACTAATTGGTCAGTGTTATATAAATGCAATCATTTGATAGATGACTTTCCAATATTTTGGCTTTTATCATGGAGCACAGTGCCCTTGAAATCCATCCACGTTGCTACATACATCATTGCTTGGGTTCCTTTGTTGCTTTGTTTCATTTTTTGTTTGCTCCCTACCCCCTGCCTTTTTTTTTTTTTTTTTTAACTGAGTAGTATTCGATGGTATGGATTTATCAGAGCTTGTCTAGCCATTCACCTATTTCAGGACATTTGGTTATTTCTAGGTATGAGTTATTACAAATGAAGCTGCTGTGAACAATTGTGTACAGGTTCTTGTTTAGATATACATTTGGTTTTGCTGATCCATTCGTAGAAGTACGATTACTGGGTCATATGGTAAGTGTATGCATAGTTTCCCAGAATGGCTGTTCCATTTTACATTCATGTTACATTATCAGCAAYGTGAGTGACCTAGTTTCTCCACATCTTAGCCATGATTTGGTGCCACTATTTTGCAACAGTTTTTCTTTGGAAAAGTAAAATATTCCTCTGCACCAAAAGGTTAAGTAGGGCAGTACTCTTACTTGGGAATATACATTTGTTGTAATAATGATACCCATCATGTAGACTTCAGGAACTTAGGCCTTAGAAACTATTTTTACTATAATGTGCTTTTGTATGTGCAAAAAAATAGGTATAAATGAGGGATAGAAATCATTCAATGAGAATTGGATTCCACTTAAAGAATGCAGGTAATGGAGACTGTTCAGTGTTCCCTTTTCTGGATCATGAGGATAGAATCTGTGCAAACATGGTCTATAAGACATGATTTTGTAGACCTCCGGTGCCAGTGGACAGTACAACACTAAGGAAGGAGCACAGTTCTTGAATTTAGAAAGCTCTTTTCTATAGTCCATTTTCCTAGCTTACAGAACTCAAGAAGTTCAACCTATCTGTCCCTCAGTTTTCTATTAGTACAGTGAGGATACTATCTCAATTACAGGAATGTCTGTAAAAAATAAGATAATATCTCTCTTGCTTAATAAAGACTTGAGTGCCTACTATGTTACAGGCACTGTGCTARACACTGTTGATTTAGTGACGACTAAGATGTTACCACTGAGATCATGGAAAAAGCACAAAATGATCTGACATTTATTTACTTGTTTGGTCACATCCTAGATACTTTATGTATATCATGTCTTCTGAGCTTCTCAAGAACTCTAAGACATGGATGCAGGTCTCACCATTTAATACATCAGGGGTAAAAGAGACTTAAGATACTTATTCAAGGCCAGAGTCACTGCCAGAATTGTAGCCTGGATCTCTTTGACTTCTAAATCACCATATTGTGTGTTTCCTATATGAAAATACCTTGTAAATAACCAAATACTAACTGTAAATATTAGTACTTATATGATTAATTATTAATAATAAGCCAGGCAGAGTGAAACTATGCCTGTAATCTCAACAGCTGGGGAGGCTGARGCAGGAGGATCACAAGTTCAAAGCCAGCCTCAGCAACTTAGCAAGGCCCTAAGCAACTGAAAGACCCTGTCTCTAAATAAAATACAAAAAAGGGTTGGGGATATGGCTCAGTAGTTGAGTGTCCCAGGGTTCCATCCCAGAACCGCCCCCCCCCMAAAATAATTGCTAATAATATTTCTATTTTGATTAATAAGACAACAAACATTGAGAGCTTAAATTTTATTTTACTCTCTATAAGCTATTAAGGTCATTCAAATTCTACATTTTCTTGTAGGAGTTGCATGGTTTCTGGCCTAATTCCTTGGTCTTTGATCCATTTTGAGTTGATTCTTATGCAGGGTGAAGGATTAGGGTCTAGTTTCATCCTTTTACATATGGATAACCAGTTTTCCCAACACAATTTGTTTAAAAAGCAATCTTTCTCCAATATGTGTTTTTGGCACCATTGTCAAGGGTCAGATGACTATGTCTGTGTGAGCTTGTCTTTGTGTCTTCTATTCTCTGCCATTGGTCTGTCTGTTTTTATGCAAGTACCATGCAGTTTTTGTTACCATAGCTCTGTAGTGTAATTAGAAAGCACATGTTCTAGTGCATTCAATATTCTTCCTTTGGTTTAAAATTACTTTGGCTATTCTGGGTCTTTTATTCTTCCAAATGAATTTTAGACAGTTTTTTTTTTTTTTTTTTTAGTTCTGTGAATAATGTCTTTGATTCAAGTTGTATTTTTATCTGGAGTTTGAGGCCTGTTCCAAACTCACATAACTGTGGCAGAATTCAGTTTCTTGTCATTGCAGGGCTGAGGTCCCTGCTTCTTTGCTGGATATCCACCAGGGACTTCTCCCAGCTCCTGGAGGTTGGTCCCATTGTCTGCCACATGTGTTCTTGCATAGTTAAAGTCAGGGAAAGAGACTCTTCCTCTTGTCAAATCCCTCTCAGATGTGAATTATTGTTCCAAGAAAAGCTGAGAATCTTTGAGGAATCACTTGATTAAGCCATTCTTCAGTTCCTCAATGATAATCTCCCTTTTTTAATGTCAACTGATTAGAGACATTAATTACATCAGCAAACTCCCTCTTCCAGGTGACACAACATACTCATGGAAATGAACATATTTACAGACTTATGCACAAGAGGAAGGAAGTAAACAGGTGTGGGTGTTAGGGGCAGAGATTTGGGAGGCCACTTTAGAATTCTGGGTTGGATCAAATAACTGAGAACTATAGCTCAGCCAAGTTGACACACCAAAAAAAGTGACATAGTTCTGAAATATCAAGTAAAAATTTGGTTTGAATTTTGTGTTGTAAATTTTATTATGATCTTCTTTTGTAGAACTGGTGTTCTCTGTTTGTGGAGGTTTGCATGTCTGTATTTGAAGGAGACACACACTTAGTTGATCAGAGTGTGGTCCCTTTACCTTTTCAAGTTATCCCACTTTTGTACATAGAGATAAGAAAAGTGAGGCCCTGGGTTTTAATAACACTAGGCAGAGAAGCAAAAGTTAAATGCTCATCCCAGACCACACCCTCTTAATATCATTTCTTTGCCTTTCCACTGGTAGAAAATTCTTTTTCCTGAGAGCCACTTTTCCTGAGCAGGAATGGGAGCTTGGGGGAGGGTAATGGACAGAGATGTCAGCCAGAGTTTGGGCAGAATAACAGTACGAATGCCCTTGGAGTATCTTTTGTAATCACAAGATGGAAAGATATCTGATACTGTTCTTAGTTCATTTTATGCTTAATTTATTTTCTTAGTGCCATAGAAATTCAGAGCTGTAAGGGATCTTAGAGAAGTATCTTGTCTCATTCTCCCTTTGGGGAAAAAGATCATCTGACAGTAGTACCATAACAAATCAATAACTTAATGGACATATAAATGGTTTTATAGAAAACATTGTTTTTTTTCCCACCAGTTTCTTAATTGCTTCTTAAACATCCAATTCAGTGATTCTCAATTTTTCCCAACCATAACGAATTAGAGAGAAAGGTAGCACATTTATGTCAGTGACTGAAGCTAAACTCCAGCAGAAATCTGCAGAAGTGATTTTAAGCTGAGAATCGTGAACATCCCCCAGACCTCTCATACTTACTATCAGGGAACATTGAAAATCTTGGGGTGGCAATGAGAGGGGAGAGTACATGAGGYTGGAGTAACCTCCTAGGTGATTCTGAAGAGCTCCACTTGAGTCACTTAGATAGTAGTAGCTTGTGTTCTATTATCTCTATCATTGAAATGTCCTTTTATTTTTCTTATTATTTCTGCATACAATCTTGGTGTCATCAAAGAATCGTCTAGTCTATCTCAGCATCTAATTCGTAAGTTACTTCTATTCCATGCAGACAGTCAGCCATTCTGACTTGTTACCTACAGCTGTGGTATGATGAGGCACTGTTGTTTTCCATAGMTCTTGGGCTATTATCAGGCAGTTCCTGTTTTTCCTTGAGTCAGGCAAGAACTTGGTCTCTTGTAAGTTCTTACTGACTGGGAAGGCTGTGGCATTTCTCCCAATTTTATTCTTGTGTGGAATTAAGATCCCTGATTCTTTTTTTTTAATTGGTTGTTCAAAACATTACATAACTCATGACATATCATCTTTCATACATTTGATTCAAGTGGGTTATGTACTCCCATTTTTACCCCAAATACAAGTTGCAGAATCACATCGGTTACACATCCACATTTTTCCATAATGCCATATTAGTGACTGTTGTATTCTGCTACCTTTCCTATCCCCTACTATATTTAGGCTAATATTACTGATGGTTTCAGGATCTCCATTCTAGTTACCTTCCTTTGGAGCAGTTCTGTTACATCTTTAATGTGATGAGTAAAACTGAACTCAGGACARGGTTTGTTGGTCATGTCTCCTATCTCCTAAGAATGACTTCTGCCATAGCTTTCAGACTGGTCCAGCTTCTCTGGGATACATTCTGCACATGAMTGACAAAGGAGATTTTAAGTGAGATCCTTTTTCTTCTGTATTTGTACCTTCCAGCCACTTGTCATTGCTCTCAGAATAGCATACAACCTCCTTTAACAAGCCAATAAGACCGAGCATGATCTCACCCCACAAACCCTTTGAATCTGATCTTCTATCACTAAATTCCATATTTGGCTCCTTGAACTTGCAGTTCCTTTGGCATCTCCTCTTCCCTGTCCTCATATGGCAGGCTTCTGCCCACCCAAGGCTCACTTCCAGTTCTTCTCCAAAGAGACCTTTTCTTACTGCCCCCAAGAGTCTACCTTCCCTAGTCCCCCTCCTCAAGCTCAGAACCCCTGCATCTTTTACCGTGGGACCTTCAAGAGCCTAGAGGGAGGAGTGCTGTGGTGGGCTTCCAATAAATACTGCTGTGGAATAAGTGAATAGTTAGTTGAGCAGGGCTGAATGCACCTCTTATTTTTAGTAATAGATATCTGTTAATATATCCTAAGATTTGTGGGTGGGGGCAGGGGAYACCAGAAAAATGAACATTTCATTATCAACACATCCTACACAGATACTGACTATTTGAAGGTAGAGCCAGCAGGATTTGCTGCCCAACTAGATGTACCCACATGTGAGAAACCAAGGAGTCAGGTAGAAYTGATTCCTTTTCACCCTGTGGATCTGAATAAATGGAGTCATCACTATTGAAATGAGGAAAACTGAGAGGGGAGTTTAGGTGTGCAAGGGGCCCATCAGAAGTGAAGTTGAGACATGGAAAGGTAAAAATGCTATGATCCTTAATTTTGCTCTGTGTGTTAGTCTCCTCAGGTTTAAGTGAGAGTTAATAATTTCTCATGATAGTTGTGAGTTTTTAAATAGTTAATGTACATAACTCAAGGGAAAATAATAGAGAAAGTGCATTAAGAAAAGTAAATTGTTTAAGCATAGTTATTAGGTCATAGAGTTTTTACAAAATCCTTTGGGCATGAGATAGGAAAACCTAAGTATACTGCACAAATTTTTTTCCCGGTGGGATTTTATGCTGTATTGAAGTGTTTTCTTTGGTGTAGGACGATGTTCAGTTATACAGTTGAAAGTCAAGGTATTGACTCAGTATCTAAAAACATCTCTCCTGGTAGTAAACTGCAACCAAGGAGCATCAAAAAATTATATTCCATTCACTCACTAAACTGCCTTGTAACCTTCAACAGCACATGTATTGAGTCTCTAATATGGACAGGAAAATATGCTAGATACTGAAAAGCTAATAGGGCCAAGATAGAATTTATAATGTTGTTATATTCTGGGGATTAATGTAAGCATTTTATCAAGGTTTAACATTATAAGCTTGATAGAAGTACATGGCTGTCATTGTGGAGTGAAAGCCYAGGAAGTTTCTCACATGCTGATACTGAGGGCAGAGCAGGGGAGGATTTGAATGCATAGTGTTGATTTCACCGGAATGCCAGCACTTGCTGGGGACTGTATTGAAAGAAGTCCTTCAGACAGCACGTCCCCTTTGTACTGGTAAACTTTGAAATGCTTTCAGTGCATTTACTTGGCTTTATTGTTACAGAAGAAATCTCATAGCTAAATTACAGTGTTAAGGGTTTATGAGATGCAATTAAACTTAATTTTTAAAAAGTTCTCAACAAATCTTATTTGAAGTCTTAATATCTCAATTCCCTTTATATAGGATGTGTGGATACATTTCCACCACATAAGTAACATGTGACCCACTTCATAACAGCTTYCTTAATAGCCCAAAGCTTCTTGTGTTTATGTGTAAATGATCCTTTTGAAATCTAATTATTCATGAATAAGGCTTCTATTCCATAGTCAGTTTGAGGAAAGGCAGGGCTCATCTGTCTTGTCTTAGTCACACTAAGGGGAGGAAGGACATAGTGGTAGAGCCAGCTCCCTCACCTGGGTCCCCTGAGCCAGTCTGTACAGGAGGACTTCAGTGTTGCTTGAAGGTAAATTCTAGGCTCTTTATGCATACAGGGATCCAACACATGAGAGTGGTAGTTAATGTTTGCTGAGCACTTGGTAAGTACCAAACACTGCTTTAATTCCTTCATCTATATTAGCTTTGTTAATAGTCACAGCAGTCCTTCGAGGGGTAGATCCTGTCATACCTGTGTAACAGTTAAGGACGCTGAATAGAGGCATTGGTTGAGACGTTGTCTAAGGTTACAGATTGTCAGATTTGGGTTTCAAACCCCAGCAGTGTGGCCCAGAGCTCTGTGCTCAGCTGCTGTGCTGGGCTGCCTCCTTCCATAGAGCTCAGGCTGGGGAGAGTGTGGCCAGAGACCCTCAAACCGCTGTGGCTTTTGTTTCCTAAACAAAATCTGTTTTACAAATTTGTCTCTTATGTGTGTATGGATTAAGGCCATAGTTGATTATTTTTGTGGTCCCCCTACATAAGATATATTTGAGATTACTAGTGGGATTTAAAGTAATTATAAGAAAGATTTATTGTTTTTTTTTTTGTTTGTTTTCTTTCTTCTCAGTGTCATGGTTTTCTCCAAATGAAAATATTCTCGTTGTTATTTTCCCAATTTTGGCTATACTTCTCTTCTGGGGACAATTTGGCATTTTAAGTAAGTATTTATTTCTACTTTTCTTTTATGGTTTAGTGATGAAATTGTTATTTCTAGGAGGTTATAYTAGTAAAATATTTTGTTTAAGTTGTATTAGGAAGAGTGTTATTTGAGTAAAGAAGTAACRCAGTTTCAATACTCACAGTCTCCTTGAAGTACATATTGTCCCCCATATTATGCTACAGTTCACCTTTAATCCCTAAGAAGGTGTCTCTTTTTTTATTTATTTGTTGTTGTTTTCTAAATCTTTAAAGAATGAAAAGAGGGACTACTAGTAATAGCAGCACCTTACACTCATGTAGCATTTTTATATTTACAGAACATTTACCTATATTTTATTTGATAAACAGATGGTCACAGGCCTCATTAATGTTGAGACAGCATGATGTGATCCTCTGGAGCCTTAGGATTCCCCTCTCTTCATTTYCCCCGTTTGAACTTCTCTGTAGACACGTTTACTTATGGAGAAGTCCCACTGAACCATGTTTTGTCACCTTCAAYKTGCAGCCTCATAGCCCTTAAGGAAGCAGCCACGGGAAAGCCGTGTTCTGTGATCTCACTTTACTGTGATAGTCATGTAACCAAACCTCAGGGAAAATCTTAATGCTGTGTCAGATTCAGCATCAACAGTCTAGAACTTTCATTACAAGATAAGTAGGTTATATGCAGTATGGTTAAGGTTCACACTCAACCATATGRCCGCACCAGTTTGGTAAAGGAAATTTACTAAATTAGTGAATTTCTGAGGCGACATTCTAAACTTACTTTAAACTTGAAGACGTAAGATCCCTACTCTCCTTGTAGCACCCAAATAGTCACTGAAGACCAGTTAAGCATCTATACAGAAGGAGTAAACAGTGCTGATGTGATTTATTGTCCAATCTTTAGAAAAATAAAATGTGGTAAATGTTGCAGTAGATTGGCCTCTATGTCTGTTATGGATTTTATTTTTCCGCAGAAGTTTAAGCTGTGTGTATCCTCAGTGATATGCAAAAATGTAAGAGAGGGGACTGATGATATATTTTAAGAGCTTTTCCCAATGTATAGCCCTCTGGAAATGCTAATGATTTCAGAGATGTTCTCAACTTTTTGTCTAAAAGAAAAAAAAGAGGGAACAAAGGACTGACAGTGGCAACTGTCAAAATACCTCATAGCTCTTACCTTCAAGAGGTGTCTAGACCTCTTTTGAAAATTATCTTAAAATTTCAATAAATCTTTTATCTCAGGAAAAAAAAAACTGGTACAGCATCAGGCCTATTGTGTCATCAGTGATGTTAGGGAAAGCATTCCACCATATTGGCAGACATAGCTTTAAGGCCCAAGTCATATAATTTGGGCTGGGAACAAACTATTTTTATGATTATAAAATTATTTCACATTAGTGGGATTTGTTGAGTTTGGATTGTTAGAAATTCGCTGATCATGGCATTATCCTTAGTGAAATTACATTTATGGAATTATGCCAAGGTAAATCTGTTCACTGTCAGCCAAATTTTTACAAAATAAACTTAATTGTTTTGTTGTTGTTGTTCTGACTTTAAAAAGTAATACAGTTGTCTTCGTATCCATGGGGGACTGGTTCTGGGAACCCTATATACCCAAATCCACTGATGCACTGACACTGGCCTGTCTTATTAAATGGCCAAGCATTTGCATTTAACCTCCACACATCCTCCTGWATACTTTCAATCATCCCTAGATCACTAGATTATTTATAGTACCACATGCAAAGTAGATGCTATGTAAATAGTTGTTGTACATTTTTTTTTTAGAGAATGATGACTGGGAAAAAGTCTATACAAAATCAGTGCAGATATAATTTTATTATCAATATTTTTGGTTCACAGTGGACTGAGTATGTGAATGTGGAACTCACAGCTATGGAAGGCTGACTGTTACATTACCTTAGAACACTTTGTACATTATAGGAATTTTTAGGGGAAAATAAAAGTCATCTGCAGTGTCACAACCTAATAATATGCTATTGGTGCTTTCTAGAGAATTGCCTATTTCCTTCCCTGTCTATTTATTTTTGTTATCATTGTTTTAAAAACAGAAACCAGGAAAGGACTTGTGCTGTTTATGTTCTTATACACCCTAATGTTCAGGATGTGTCTTTGTAACTCTTGTTAGAATTCTTCTCCCTTCTATGCATGTACAATCATTTACTTAACTTTTATCTTGATGGATATTAGGGATGTTTCCAAGTTTTTTGATACTATGAAAATAACTCTGCTAACAATATGTAAGCCAGGAGATGGCAAAGATATTTTAAGCCTCCTGATTCACACTGCCAAAATGTTTTCCAGAACCATCTCATCAGTTCCTACCATTGCAGCTGARAATACCTGTCTTTCACCTCACAGTCCTGACATTATTATAATTGTAAAATCTCTGCTAATTTGATGGATTATAAAGTAAAAGGCATCTTGTTTTCATTTTCATGTTTGTGTTTATGAGGTTGACTGWTCATTTTTATATTTTTTTCTACTGCTGTATTTTAAGGAACATGTTTATGAGCCTAAAGAACTTTATTATTTTGGCACATCTTAAACAAGTAAATGTGGTGACTGTGCGTGTGTGGAAGAGGCACTTCCACACTGGGTTCATCCAGCCTGCCCTCCATTTAGAGGCGTTGATCATAATAGTGATTAAGTGTGGAGCCCTTGCCCTGTAGGGCAGGCACTGTGCCAAGTGTGCTGCATCTGAAATMATGTTGATTTCTCCAGGGACTTTGGGTGTATGTACTGTGGTTATTCCCATCTTGTAGATGAGAAACTGAGGCACTGATCAGTTGGGCAGTTTGCCCACAGCCACCCAGCTGTTTCCTGGTAGCCCTGGGATTTGAACTGTGCTGTTGGTTTACTGTTACTCTACTGCTTCCCCATCTTGAATTTGAGAATTTTCTTTCTGTGAAGGCTAACGCCATGTGTAGGTACACACTCTGAGTAGATGTAACTGTTATTGATAAGGAGACTGTTGACCTATTTTGTTTGTTCTATGAATACCCGTGACMRGGTGCCTGCTGACCACTGGGCACTGGGCTACATGCCTGAGATGTGGAAGTGAGYGCACATCRCCCCTGGCTTGTAGACCTGCATGTCAGTCATTCCAGTAGAGGGGTGGGTGTGTCTGCCTGTGCTGCCCCTAGATCTGAACCAACTTTTCTTTTGAAGCCCATTGTAAGAGGCCTCCAGGTTATGGCCTGGGCATCCCACCAAAGAGGGGAGCCCCTGTGTTTTCCKCCTGAATGCTTGTGCATTTCCTGGAATCCAGGATGTCACAGCCCCTGGGGTGTTAACAGTCACTCAGCTCCATGGCTTTTATTTTCTACATTTTTAGTTCTCCTTAACTTTTCTGATGACCATTTATGGTCTGTACTTGACTACAGGAGATTTCTCTAAGTGGTTTATCCAGCTCTGCCTGTGAGTMTTTTGTGGTCCAAGATGAAACCCAGACCTTTGTGAGGCTGAACTTCCTGGAAAGACAGTGGGTTATGCTGTCACTTTGAGGATAAGGAGTTTCTGTGTTCCACTGCATAATTCTTGACACTGTATTAACATATATTCTCAATTCCCTAGAATTAAGCACTGAACCTTAACCARTAATATTGCTTTCAGACACTTGGTTTTTGTTCAGAAAACTATACCAACTCACAGTTTGTTACTCTGCTGACGATTAAGTTCCTGGCTGACTTTTCGCGGTTCTTCTTCCTTAGTCTTTGATCTCAGAAYAGCTTCTTTCCATCATTTAGCTGGTTGATGTATGATTGCTAGGACTGCCCACCTAGTCCTCTAGTTCCTGCAGGATTGAGGTGCCACTGTATTCAAAGAACTGGCTGACATTTTGAAAGTCTTTGAAGTAGGCCTGTCTGCTTTTTTTTTCCTATTCCTTGAACTTTTGTCATGTATAGTGTGTCTTTGCTTTGCACAGATCTGTGAAACCATAAACACAAATYTTTATTAAGATTTCTGCATAGAAATCTTAATAAAGAATGGGAAAATTACTACTATATAATGGCCTTAAAAATCTTTTTTACAAARCATTAAAAGTGTTTGTATTATCAATAACAACTGCATTGGAAAATGGAACAAAAGTCAAATTAATATTTAGCACATGATATATTAAAAACTTCGAGGATTGAAATGTTTTGTTAAGCACTGTTTGAACAACTCTTGTATTCTCTTTGTGTAACTGAATACAGAACACACATCTTTTCTGTGCCTTGGTGAATTGTCAGCCTCCCATTGGGATCAGGGTTTCAAAATTGTGTTCTTTGTAGTTTCAAAGTCGTGAAATATATCTGGCAGTCCCTTCAGTGTGACATGGTTCTTGTTTTTGCTTTTGCCAGAGTCTCTTCCTCCAGGACATCATCTTTCTCTTTTGTCCATCCTCCTCACCTTCCTCATTCTTGCCAGTGATTTTCCTTCACTGAGTTGCTCTGGCCACATCTTGAGTGTCCCTGTTCCCATAATCCACTGTTTTCTTCTACTTTTCCACTGGTGGCCCAATTTGAAATTCAGATCTAGCATCCTGATTTTTCATTTCTTTGCTCTTTCTTCTTTTGTGCTCAGTTTTCCCTCTTGATAATCCAATATAAAGTAGCATGTGGGTTTATCGCTGGGAGACCAGAAGATAGTACAAGTATACACTTGAACTGAACGAAGAACAGATGGGCAGTGACCAGTGAACAGTCAGCAACCAGTCTTCAAAAAAAGTGACGTGACTGATCRCAACGGACATCTGCTATTTATGGAGGGACTTGTGGACTGAAGAGATAGCAGTGAAGTCTGTACTTTATCTAGTTACTTGGTTAACATATTGTGGTAATTAAAATTAGAACTATATTTTGGGGGACTTGTGTTTTTTAACTAAATGATGGTAACTGGAATTCATTCACATCAGAACCATTCCTGGTGAGGACTGCTGTAGTTCAAATCTTATTTCCTAGACATCGTCCATTTTCTTTTCTAAWTTTCTCACCCTTCCTCAAGATTATTCCACAAGGATTTTGGCTACTGGCTCAGAGGTATTTAGGTAGATGTACCTATGGAAATAATTGTAGGGATATTCAAGGAAAAAATACTCCCACACAGCAGCCTTGAGGTCCTACTAAGTCTTCAAGTCCAGACTTGAGGACTAGTTTACTAATGAAAGTATTTAGGCCATGAGGGCACATTTAAGAGAAGTAATAGAGCAGGGAATTTCTCCATTGGTTAGAAAAGATCGTTCTATGGAGGTGAGGACATGTATTGAAGTGTACTGAAAGTATCTATGCAAGAAGGTAAAATTTTCCAATAGGTTATAAAGAATTATTCTGTAACCTGATTGCTGTCCTCTAATAACAGGACTTAATAACGAAGTTTGATGTGAGTTCTATTCAAAAATCTTGAACTCATAGTGTTTTTCCTTGGTCCTGTCCAAATTACAATCATCTCTGTAATCAAGTCTTGCTTATGCACTGATTTTATTGTAGGAGCCACTGAACACAACTATAGTTTAACATTTCACTGTTTTAGACATATAGTTGCAGCTTTCTTGACCTTTTCCTAACCATTTCATCCCAGCTTCCTGCATATACTCTGAAACTGTGAAACTTTCCACAAAACCAGGGCACATTTAGAACCAGGAGAAAGAGATTTGTCTATAGCACATCCCCTTCGTTTACACTCAAAGTACTTTCTGCACAAAGCCTGAGCTCTTTTATCTCTGGGTCCCCTAGAAGGGGAATGTGGTGTTCAGTCAGTATTTAGTTTGACAGAATTGCTTCACCAGAGCAAGCTGGACAGTACATGGAGTTTATAATAAAATTGTTTTGTTTGCCTTCTGGCAAGTCACCAATTTATAAATGGCAATTCATTTTTCTCTAGCACCAGTTTCACAAAGCCTTCTACATGAATGTGTTAAATGTTTTTAAAATAGTAATTCAAATTTAAATAATTAAAAAAGTTGAAATTGTAATCTGATTTTAAAAGTTATTAGATGTACTTTATCCTACACTGAAGACAGTATTGGTTTATAACTCAACAGATACCGAAAGGATTCTAAGGTACTTTCCTGGAGTATCAGAAACTGTATAATAATTAAATCAAACACTTGTCTCCCTTTATGATTTATTCTTCATCTAATACGGATTTTATCACACTGGTAGGCTTTTGTGTCTCTGCTTACTCACCGATCACTTGGCTGGGGACTAAATGTTACATCTTTGAGCAGGCATGGCTTCTTGGATTTTTAGATCTTGTTAGGTAGACTGTACTTTTTCTGGACCAATATGAGTGTATCAATTCAGTCTTTAGAGTATCATGAAAACGTAACATGATAGATTTAATTTTATCTCCAATTGACTTGGTAATTATACTAGATTTTGCCAGCCTCAGCCTGCATTCTATCTTAGATGTGCTCCCTATCACTCACAAAGAGACATGAAAATCTCCTCAATTCATTACATTAGCACTGTCTTTAAATGGCTAGAGGGACTTGCTTCATCCACGTGAAAGTGAAGGATTTAATGCCTAAAGGAACTTTCTTAGACTAGAGGAGATCTTCACCTTTTATTTAACTGGGAAGAAGACAGGAGAACAAAGCCCYGGTCATTTACATCCCCAAACACACTCTCACCCATTAGAATCTGAGGGCCTCCAGGCCTGCCTTGTGGTTGTTTTTATGAACACTGTCAGTGAGTAGAATAGTGATTGTCGCAAGGGTTGATAGTGCTCAATAAGTTCTTGTTTAATAATGTAATCCACTTGTTCCCTGATTTGGACTAATAAAAGGGCCTGGTACATTGTAGGTGCATAGTCAACATTTGTAGAAAAAGTGAATGAGGGGCTGGGGTTGTGGTTCAGTGGCAGAGCACTTGCCTAGCATGCGTGAGGCACTGGGTTTGATCCCCAGCACCACATAAAAACAAACAAATAAAATAAAGGTATTGCATCCACCTATAACTAAAAAAAAGTWTTTAAAAAAAGAAGAAAAGAAAAAGTGAATGAACCAACCTAACATTTTTTYSAGAAGTAGCCTGCTGGATTTAACTATTTWATTTCACATATGCTCTGGAATTATATTGAAATTAAGCAACATCTATTTTGAAGTAGAAAAAGGAAAATTTTAGAATTTCTCATTTGTTGGTTAAAATATTATATTATTTCCTCTAGTATTTGGTAACCCTGTATCAGRCAGAGCCTAGGTTGTAAGTTTTTGTTAAAAATGTACATAGGATTATCATTTCTCATGTATTTCATTTTATGTATTGAGCTCAGTAGTTTTAGCTGAGGGGACTCTTTAAAAGCATGCAGATTTTTTAAATGACATAGATTGTCTTGCTAAGCAGCCAGAAAATCATACCAGAAAGTTTGATAAAAGCCTGCTGTTAAGAATACATTAAATTATTTTTCTCTTAATGCTAAGTGTTTGGGGAATCACTTGAATTTATTTTCTTTGTCACATCTAATGTTTTGATACATTTTATAACTAAGGGTATATCTACTTATTAAAGAACCAGAAAACATCACTAATAAGAGGGCCTGAAGATTGTTGGGTTTTATAGCATCTCAGTGTAGCTGAGAAACTGACCACTGTGCTAACGGCAAGATATCTTCCGCACAGTTACCGTGGGACCTGCTAAAATGTGGTCATTGTGAGCAAAGAAAAGGAGCCAGAAGGCACTCTTTATAGAGGGCCATTGAAGAAATATGGAGACCTTCTTKCATTGCCTGTGGTTACTTAAGTAGACTGCAGTAATATATTTTTTGGAAACGGCTGCTTTCATTGGAGAAAAGTTTAAGGTAGTCTTGAAAATGATTAGTAATTGAACCAATCAACAGGAATTAAAGCTACCACCCATGTACAGTGTACTTCTGCTCAAAAGGAAAAGGCCATTTTATGATAAAACACTAACAATAGTATTTTGTGGTTTGAGTTTTGTTGGTATTATTTTTCTCCTAAGCCTGAAGGTATTGAATTCTATGTGACGTTCAAAATCTTATTTTAAGAATGACAGAAGTCAGCCTTTTTGCATGAAATTATCCTAGGAAGTCAAGTCTTAAATGCTTGTTGCTTGGTGGCTCCTTTAACAAATTAACCTGCAAGAGCCTCTYATGACTGTTTGATTGTAGAGGACATTTGAAGCAGCTTCTATTTTATAACCSTTTGCAGAACTTTGAAGCTCTGTTTAGATAACAATATGCATGGGATTCAAATGGAAAGCATGACACATATCTAGAGAAAATCTCTTTCTCTGTGTCTGTGCCTTTTGTGACCTGTGCACTCAATTTTATTCTACCTGGTATTTGAGYCTAGAAGACAGAGAAGCTGTGAGAACTGAGCTTGATAAGGAAGCAAGGTTGTGATTGAGTAGTAGTCACRTGCCTTCTAGGGCTGGGTGGGAATAACAGGTCAAATAAAGATTTGGGGAACTTGCCACATGATGCTTTCTAAATATTACTGTGATTTCTCTTTACTGATTCATGTGGATTTGTTACTCAGCTTGACGAATTGTGTCTGCTTAGGCTCTGTCTCCCCCTAAACAGAATAGACTTGGGGTTCTAATCTAAAGTGTGGGTAGGTAGAGATTMAAAAAAACTCTTCAGGTACCTGCAGTATACCTTAAACATAGATTTTTTCATGATTATTAATATTGTTAATTTTACTATGYTTCATCTATTCATCATTTTGGTGGAGGAAAATTAAATGCAAAATACAACATTTAAAGTATTTTCCCCTTTGCAACAGTTACCCATTGATTATTGACACACCAATCTATGTGTATGACACACAGCAAAATTTCAGTCACATATCCTGTTGCTCTCTGCTACTCAGTCTGATTTTAGGTTACCTTTAACAATTGCTTGGTGAAAAGTTAATTTCAATGTTAACACATACATAAAAAGGTCAATAGARATTAAAAGGAAATACTATTAGGGTTATTCATTACATTGTTGTTTCAGGGAAGGTACTGGATACTTGACAATAAACCTAGCATTAGAAACAATAATATATATGATAAATCCCATTGAGTCTTTGTAGTTTATTTTTATTAAAATAAAGATTTTAAACATTTTTTTTCCATCAGGATTTTGCAAGGGTGTTATTTGTTCAATGTTTATTCTATCCTGTTTTTCAGAATGATGGGTCCATATGTCCAGATGTTTTACTAATTTTATGTAAGGTGGAACTTAGTTCTCTTTTTCTCAATATTGCTAATTAGCCATTTATGTCCCRTCAGCATATGTGTATCAGTGTTGTGTTGTCCATCTGGGGTGATTTTGTTCATCAAGGGACATTGACAATGTCTAAACACATTTTGATTGACATAACTAGGGGACTGTTACTAGCATCTCATAATATAGAGTCCAGGGATTCTGCATAACATTCTTTTAAAGTGTAGGGAATAAAGTGTCACCTGTGTATTAAGCATCCACATGTATCCTGCCATTACCCTAATTATCCATTGGCTTTTGAAAAGATATGAGGTGACTTAAAGGAGTTGTTGCTCAGAGGTTCTTCAGTTACAGTGAGTTATCAGTTTGAATCTGYGCCTTATAGGTTACAGAAATGGCTTCACATGTGATTGAGTTTGTTGATTAAATTCTGTTTCRTTTTATTTTTCAGCACTTAAATATAAATCCAACTGTACAAATAAGAAAATCATCCTTTTACTTATTGCTGGACTACTGCTCACTACAATTGTCATTGTTGGAGCCATTCTCTTTGTCCCAGGTAAGATGTACAGTTGCTATGAGGAAATGGGGGTCAGGGTGTATATGTTTCCTAGTGCTGTCGTAGCAGATTATGGCAAACAGAGTGGCTTCAAACAGTAGAAGTTCTCTCACCACTCTGGGGGCCGTAAGTCTGGCTGTAAGTCAGGGTGTCACGGGGGCCGCATTCCCTCCCCAGGCTCTAGGGGAGAGTCCATTTCCTGCCTCTTCTAGCTTCTGCATTTGCTGGCAGTGCTTGGCATTCCTTAGCTTGTTTCTTCCCTCATGGTTGCAGTTCCTCTTTCTCCTCTGTCTTCTGCTCTGTGTCTGTGGCAAACTGCCCTCTGTCTCACTCCCTCAAGGACACTTGTCATTGGAATCCGGGCCCACTGGTRTAATTCAAGATAAGCTCCTTCAAGATCCTTAACTTAATTGTATCTTTGGCCATATAATGGAACTGGCTTTTARTTTTGCCATATAAGGGGATATTCACAGGTTCTAGGGATTGGAAAGTGGAAATAGCTTCAGGGCCACCATCTTGTATTGACCAAGATGTGGAAGTGAGAAAGAACGTGGGAACCATGTCTGTCTAAAGTGACAGTTGTGGGGCGGGGGGATGGGAGTGGGAGTGGGAAAGAAGGGCAGGGAGCACATGAAGAAAAGCAGAGACAGGCTGGGACTCCACGTGGTGGATTGAGCACACTATTGTGGTTTCTACAGGAGATGGTAGTGTGGGTGTGATGTTTAAAAACATAAATCAGCACCTGTATTTACTTACAGAGGTACTGAGGGCATGGGGAGAAGGAGATAAGTTCAGAAAACAGCCTGAAAGAGCAGTGGATTTGACTTTGGGACAGATGGAAAATAGCAAAGGAAGGGAATGACAAGAGATGACTACAGAATTTCTCATTGGAAATCTGTTAGATAGCTGAGGAGGAGATAGAGCCAATTCAAGGATTTTGCAGGGTGAGATTTATATTCTTTGTCTCAAAAAATTACTCATTTGAGTGAATTTTGGGGAAAACATTTCAGTTTGTAAGAGTATTATTGAGGTTAAAATATTTAATAAAATGAAGTACTTTAACTTGTGAAGACTAGGAAGTATATATGAGAATATTTTAAATGTTTTTTATTTATTAACAGGAGAATATTCAGTAAAGAATGCTTCAGGACTTGGTTTCATCGTAATTTCTACAGGGGTATTAATATTACTTCAGTACAATGTGTTTATGACAGGTAGGTATTTGTTCTTACAGTATGATTTTTGTCTCCTTTTTTCATTAAAAAACAGTATTTTTGGTGAATTTTTTCTTATATTTTTTAACAGTTCAATTGAAGTGAATTTTATTAAAAGAACTTCCATTACATTCTTAGTGATTTCCCTGCACAGATTGATTTAAGACTATCTTAGATCATTAAGGCAGTTAATTATTTTGTGAATACTRATTTTTGTATTATTTGATGCTGGTTTTTATAATTTAAATTATGCTGCATAGTTTTTAATGATTATCTGCATATTCTGATTTCAGATTTTTATAGTTATAAGTAGGTGTTCAACACACTCTTTAYTTGCTAATCCTATACATTAAAAAGACTAATTCTACAAGATGAAGTTATAAATTGCAAATGGTAGAAACATGTTCCTTTTACTTACAGGCAAACCATGGCACAACTATAATCAGCATTGTTCTCTCTGCATTTTAAAAGCAAATTGCTAACCTATTTTGGTTATAATTAAGGAGTCACATTTAACACTGGACCTTAGGGCCTCTCTCTGGCTCACTGTACATAGTAAATGTATCCATTCACTATAAAACCACAGGTCAAGATGYACAAGATAGAGGTCACGATGCTTGCAGTCATGTTTGCATAGTGGTTCGCTCCACTAGAGCAATTTCTGTGCATGTGGAGAAGCCATGCCAGATAGCCATTTATGGATAAAAGCGTACAAGTGTGGTCAAAGCAGGATTGATATAGGATTTAGGGTAAAAACCACCAGTCCTGCTCAGACTCCTGTGACAGTAAATGTCTGCTGAACATGTGGGTCTGGAGCTGACTTGTGTGGAAGGTAGGCTCTGGAAAAGAGTCCACCATCTAACAAGTGCAGTCAGTCGTTGGGCATAGGATGTTGCTCTTGGTTTCACCAGAGGCAGGCAGGAGTGATTGCTTCATTGGTATCCTCAACGCACTTCTCTCTATCCCTTTCCTTCCTCTAGCTTTTGGGATGACCTCCTTTACCATTGCCATATTGATCACTCAGGTGTTGGGCTATGTGCTCGCTGTGGTTGGACTATGTCTCTGTATCATGGGTAAGAGTCTCATTCTCCTGTATTCCCAGTTTGAATTTTTCTTGAACAGAGCTCTTCTTTCTTTCTTTTCTTTTTTTTTTTTTAGAGCAGTTTTTAGATCCACAGAAAAATTGAGTGGAAAGTGCCATAGGGTTTCTGGGTACTCCCTGCCCCTTTCRCATGCTCCACACAGTCACAGTTTCCCTCCACCTCCCATACTAGAGTGGCACGTTGGTTACAACTGATGAACCARTGTTGACACATCATTATCACCCAAAGTTCATAGCTCACATTGCGGATCACTCTTGGTGTTGCACATTCTATGGCTATTACAAATGTGTAATGACATGCATCCCCCAGTTTAGTGTCATACAGAATATTTTCAGTGCTCTAAAAATCCCTTGTGCTCCATTTGTTCATCTCTCTCTCCCTGCAAATCCCTGGCGACACTGACTTTGTTACTATCTCCATAGTTTTGCATTTTCTAGAATGTCTTAGAGTTGGAATCATATAGTATRTAGCCTTTTCATATGGGCYGYTTTAACTTAGAAACATGAATTTACATTCCCTTCATGTCTTTTCATAGTTTGAGAGCTTATTTCTTTTTAACACTAACTACTAGTCCGTTGTGTGGATATACCATTGTTTATCTGTGAAAGAACATCTGGGTTGCATTCCATTTTGGGGGGACTATGAATAAAGCTACTACAAATATCCATATGCATGTTTTTGTGTGGCATAATTCAACTCYATTTGGGTAAATACCAAGGAGTGCAATTTCTGAATTATATGTTAAGATATGGTTAATTTTTTAATAAACTGCTCAACTCACCATTTTACACTCTCATAACCAATGAAAGAGACTTACTCTTTCTCTACATATTTGCCAATATTTGGTATTGTGAACATTTCTTTTTTAACTCCTATTTTTCCTCCAAGGAAATACTGGAGGAAAAAATWTTTTTTTTCATTGCTGTGAATGTTGGCTATATGTRGCTTATGGGCTGATTGTTTCAGCAGACAAACTTTTATGCCTGTAATTATGGAAGAACTTTTAAAATAACCAGGCTCTAGTTGACTGAAGTCTTCACTTTACATGCTATTTTATATTAGTCTTTATATGATAAGATGTGTGTTGTGCAAAAGAGGGCTTTTCTTATTATAATTTGGAGTTATTTCAGTGACCGAGTTAATAATAATGAAAATAATTTTATTCTGTATATATGTAGATAATTTTTATTGATTATTAGAACAAGAATTACTCTCCTAAAATTTGATGTTATTAGTTCTTGTTGATTTCTTTTTAAAATTCAGTTATTTTATAGGCATTTCTAATAGAGATTTTCATTTGTTTTTACAGCGTGTATACCAGTGCATGGCCCTCTTCTGATTTCAGGTTTGGGTATCATAGCTCTAGCAGAATTACTTGGACTAGTTTATATGAAATTTGTGGGTAAGTCAATCCTATTTTTATTAGCTTATGTCAATAATTTCAGATATATACCTTGAAAAATGCTTTTAGTTGGTTCTTCCAGAAATGTATTGATAACTCCAAAAATGAGAAAATACAGTTAAACTGAAGCTCATTCAAGAGGGTAGAAGTCATATGAATTRATGAAAAGTTTGGATTGTGAACTACTTTAAAAGAAAATGGCTTTCTCTCTGTATTAGAATGTATAGACTTGTGTGTGTGTGTGTGTCCTAAGTAAAGGGAGAGATCTCTGAAGGATCCATTTTAATTAATAGAACAGGGTTTTTAATGGTTCATTATTCCTGTGATTTAGCTCTTTTGCAGAAACCTGTATGTCACTTGCCATTTTTGTGCACTGTGTGTACACAGGGACTCCCCTAATGTGTCAGGAACTAAAAATCAAAGTCTTTTACTTTTGTATTTAATAATGTGATGACCTCCAATGCACACATTTAAAATATTTTTGGTAAAAACCAATATGATAAAAGCAGTAAGTTTTTAAACTTAGGATTTTACCACTCTTAAAATAAATTCATAATATGTATATGGAATCAGCTTCAATTTTTTTCTAACCTTGGTATTTAATCTGCCAGTTTTTAAACAACAGGTTTCTGCATACATTCTTATTTTAAACACATACACACACACACACATACAGAGAGAGAGAGAGAGAGAGAGAGAGAGAGAGAGAGAGAGAGAGAAAGAAATGTTCATTTGCTTTTAATGGTGTCTAAAACTAGGATTTTTTTTTATCTAAGCTAGTGATGTTGCCTTCAAGCTGCTGGTTTGTAGCAGCTTCCATTTTTTAAAAAAAATCTGATTTTTATTTATAAAGTAAAGCAAACTCTTCACCACCTATCAAAAGAATCAATAGTTGCAAATTAATAGTGTAGAAAAGTCAGTGTTTCTGCTTTTCAATAGGTGAAATTTACTGTTTGTTTTTAAATTAATACGGAAYTTGAATTGATAGAGTCGAGAAGCTTCCCATATAGCTTGCATAATACTTTTAAAAAAATTTACCTTTCTTTCTGAATTTCAGCTTCTGATGACCTATAATTAATTTGGTTCTGTTATATATTGTCTGACCCCTTTAATTAATGCTTATTAGATAAACAACTAAAATACATTATCAAAATCTACCTATTTTAGTTTATTTGTTCTTGAGTCTTAGTTGTACCTCAATGAAATTTCCCAATTTCATGCCACATAAGTTTATAAAACACGAAACATTTAAAAGGCCAGGTATGGTGGTGCACACCTGTAATCCCAGCTATTTAGGAGGCTAAGATAGGATTGTAAGTTTGAGGCCAGCCTGGGCAAAAAGACCCCCAACCTCTAAATAAATAAATAAATAAATAAATAAATAAGAAAGACACCTAAAGCAGACTGGCATTTTCGTGGTTGCTATGGTGAATGTCTTATTGGTGATGCTAGTCTACCCTGGTTAAGTCTTCCAGTCACCATGTGTCTGATTCTTAAGTAGTGGCCCTGTTGATTTCGTTGCCTCATGCAGCATGCAACCTGCAGTACTCCCAGGTGTCACTGACTGACTTTCGGCTCCGTGTTCTTGCTTTTCCCTCACTATCTGTATTGCCCCCTTTTGTTCCCTTACTTCCCCTTGCCTTCCGTCTCTGGCAGGTGTTCGGCAGAGTCGCCATCAGGTCTGGAGATGCTGCCTCAAGCTTAGTGGACACTGCTTAGCTGCCACCTTTTGGCCTTGCTCTCCCACCCTTTCCATTGCTTACATCCCTAAGAAGCCTGTGAAACCACAATCATTAAAAATGTCACTGTTCTAAATTCAAATGAAAGTCCCTAGAAGGACCCCAGGTTACTTTTCTTTATCATACTTTATTGTATAAATATACTATATTGATTTTAAGAATTTAGTTCAATTTTGTTGATATTTTGAGAATATCCTAAATTAACTTTTCAAATCAACTTGTCTGACGCCAGAGTGCAGAGAGAGACCTTCGGTCAGTTGAAAGGCAAGAAGAGAAAAGGTACAGGAAAGTTGCTTTTTGGATAATGTAGTAGACTAGGAAGATTAATGTGTTTTGCTCATATAAATCTGTTTAAATCTGAATATATGTAACATTAATGTTGCAAATTGGTATCAGGAAGTAAAAAATTGTAAATATTTCAAAAATAATTTTTACTCATTGCAGATGCACTGTTTTAGAAATGAATGCATCTTGATTTAAATGTAATAAAAGCCCCAGATCATTAAAAAAAAAACAAGCTCTCTAAGAGTGAGTTAAAAGTGAGAATTTTAATTTTTTTATTTTTCATTATTCACAAATGTAAATTTTATAGCCTTGTTATTTTGAAGAATAGGATTTTGACTTTCACTAAGTCCTTCTTTTTTATTGCATTTTTTCTTATTGTTGAAGGCATTTTAGTTTTATAAAGTGAGATAAGACACTGTGAACAATAATATGAAAAGATTAAAAGGAACYAGCTAAACTCACTAAAGTTGAGCTTGTTAGTGTAATGGATGCTTATGTCTATTATGTGTAAAGGTAAAAGCACTTGTTTGTTTTTAAAGCCATTACCACTTAGTTTAATATGTTTGAACAATTAGCCTCATTAAAGTCAGAAACATATTTATCACACATCTCAGATATTTTAGAATGATACAGAAGCAAAATATCTGTCAGTCAATAGATATTTGTGTTTGTTTATATATTCAGATGTATTTTCTTGCCATWGTTGAGGAGAACTGTTTATGGTATCACTATAAAAAGTGTTTCTGAAAAATTCGAAACATGGAAGTATGTTTATGTCAAGTGATCAGGTGTTTTAGATAACAATTAATGCAGAAGAATTAATCAAGTCAGCCCAGATAGAATGTTTAAGGCTTTTAATTAAAAAAAAAAATTGGCCTGGGCTCATGCAGATTAGTCATGATCATTCTTTTGGCTCATGTGTTGTAGCCCCATTGGACAGTATTAACTCAGGTGAAGTTAAGACCTGCATTGTTTAGTTTTATACTCTTAGAGGTATCACAACTGATTGCTGTCCTTTTGAATCACTGTTATTCATAGATTTTTATTTTCAAATGGTCTAGACAACTGTGACATTTCTTGCTCATGGGAATTAGAATTTTAGACTATTCTTTAAATGTAATGGTGGGGGGAGTACTTAGCTATTCTTAATACTAATTCTAATGAGCTCAAAAATAGAACTCTAAAATATTGTCTCTGACCACCCCCTCATGTTTGTTACCAATCAGAAATTTMGATAGCTGTTCAGTTCTATTGTCCTTTATAAAACTTAGATGTAAGCCGGGTATATTGGTATATGCCTGTAATCCCAGCAGCTCAGGAAGCTGAGGCAGGAGGATTGCAAGTTTGAGGCCAGCCTCATCAACTTAGCAAGGCTCTATGCAACTTAGTAAGACCCTGTCTTAATATTTAAAAAATAAATAAATAAATAAAGGACTGGGGATGTGTCTCAGTGGGAAAAAACCCTGGATTCAATCCCCAGCACCAAAAACAAACAAACAAACAAACAAACAAACACCTTAGAAATAAGGCATGGTTTAGTTGAAGTAAGCTGTCTATTCATGTCACTCTCCTGATATCCCCAACAAAATTATGAAATTCTGCTTATTTATTTGGGAAGCTGCTAAATGGAATGTATCGAAACCATTTCATTCGACACAAGGAACAAACCACTCCTCAAGTGTGGCCCGGCCACAGTGAGGGAGGGCAGTGTCGACCCACATGGCGCACTAGCAGAGCATGTCCAGAGTGCAGACAGATAATAGGCCTCACAGGGTGGGGGAGTGTGCAGTTCGGCAGCTGGACAGCTCCAGCACCTTTCCTCTTACTGGTTCATCACTCCCCCCTTAGCAACAAGAGTTAGTTGGTGTCTTTTCTGTCAGTTATGGTTCCTGAGTTCCTCTGCCTTTGGCTCTTCACCTGTTAGCCAGGTAGCTCAGCCTCTCCATTGTGTCCCCATTTTTTTATCCTAATCACGTCTTCCCAGTGATAGCTTTCCTTACCTATCACTCTAAGCTTTGAGTTCTCATTTACTTTGTTTCTTTTCCATTTTCCCTTCCCATCACCAGCTTTCTAGTCTTTTCTTCTCTTTTCCCTTTGGATTCCAGGGGGAGTGAGAATCTTACCTGGCCAGTCAGGTACCATTTTCCTATTTGAGTGAGCCTTGTCAGCTAGCCTCCAGATTGGCTGACCTGGGGTCAGAACCCACCCCATTTCCCATCAGCTGTAGAAGCTTGATAGGTTTGGGCTGAGGGGTGGTAGGAGATAAATAGCATGGAGCAGGAAAGCTGTCCTGGGGCTGCCTGTCTGCGGATGAGCAAGTCCAGTGCCGTCATCCAGTCCAGGTCACAGTGGAGTCCTGTCAGTCCCAACACATTTTCTCTCCATTACTGAGTTGAGTTCACCTGGCTTGAAAATGATTCTGTTTTGCTCCCATCTCTTGTCTAATGGTATGATTTATTCTGTTGCTACTTTATTCTGTTTAATAGTTTTGGCGAGAAATCAGAATTTCTTAAATTGAGAGAGAAATGAGAAATTCTATTAAGAAAGAAAGAACAGTAAGAGAATATATAATACAGTAGGATAACCCTCCTCCTGGATGACCCGGCCATGTTGCTGGCTGACATTTTGAAACTGTGGGACCGTGCTTGGTATGAAGGACTTAGCTGCTCTTGGGCATCCTCTTTGGTTTTTAAAGGCAGTCCTCTTTCTCCCCTACCCAGCTAGAGTACCTCCTTTCCCTTTTGTCCTTTTCTTCCTGCCTTGTATTCCTTCATCTTTATTAATTCTCCARTAGGAAACTGTGAAAAGGGCAACTCAAAAGCTAAGAAGGAGTTATGTAGRGGAGGGCTTGAGTGTGCCTGCATCTAGCTGCCTAGCATAAATTTTTAAGCATAGAGGGGTCTGAATGTTTATTTTATTAGCCATTTGAAGCTTTGAAAGCTGAGAAGGTTTTGAAGGAGGTGGRAAGATTGGGCTACGGGGACTGAGAGCAAGGAGCCAAGGAACGTGGAGTAGAGGGGACACCAGTCATTGCCTCACTYTGACATGTCCTGGCTGGGTGGAATAGGAAGAGATGGTGAGCCCATGGTAGGGATGATGGATGACAGCATTTTTCCACCAAGAAGTGTAGCAAGTGGCTGATTTGGGGGGCGAGATGGCATGCACAAATGAGAAACCATGTGTGTTTATTATCCGATATAGGTGGGTCAACGCTTCATTTTCTTCTCTCAATACATATAATCAAGAATATTCTGTATTTTTGAATAGACTATCAAAGCTGGAACTCCTTCATTGGAGTCTCTGGCACCTTCTAGTTTTAGCCCTGAACATTTTATCTTAAAAAATAAACATTGCATTGCCTTAATTTGTTTCATTTATTAAATTAATATTTTTATTTTTTTATTTATATCAGCTTCTAATCAGAGGACTATACAAGCTCCTAGGGTAAGTTAAAGTTTATTAAATGAATTGGGAATGATCTCTTGATGGGTTAGACTGAGGAGTGATAATTGGAATATTGAACTATTTTGCTCTCTGTTTCACGTAACATCAAATTAAGAAAATGTTGAAGTCGCTTCATGACCTTTGTGTGAATGGGTCCAATTTTATTTTAAAACTTATGTTTGCTCATTTAAGTATTAATGGGGTGGAATAAATTATTTCATAAAATTGTACTGACTTCTCATATCCAGAATTGGAAAGTTTATGAGTAGGAATAATGGTTATTATCTCTTCCATCAGACGGAAGCTGATTCCAATATATTACCTCACCTATTGGATCCATTTGATGTAAATACACAAAACRATAGYTTCAGGCTTAATGAGGAAGAGAAATTTATATTAAATTGACACCATTAAAATCATAATTTATAAAATGAATGTAAATATTGCTGAAAAATCTGAGTTACTATCTACCCCACACCATTTTATAAACATTTTTCTTCCTGAAAACTGTACTGCAGGTTTCACCATACCTTGCATATTTTAATTAGCTCTCTGAGAAAATTCCAAAAAAAAAAAAAAAAAAGGAACAAATTTAAGAGGGGATGAATGAGGAGAAAACTATCTTGATAAATATAGACTCATCACAATGACAGACCCAAGAGCTCTTTTATGGAAATAAGATCTAGAGAGGACTATATTATACTCAGCTTCCTATAAAGACTGATGATGGATCTACTTGGAATCCCAGAGAGAGTCTCCTGTCTGTGGCAGGAAGTGCTCCTGAGTCTGAGGAGCCTCYGCAGGCATGCCAAAGGGGCAGGCTGGCTCAAGGTGTGTTTGTTTCACCTCRCCCGTTTATTCTAAAAAGATCACTGCCATAGCTACCCTGTCACAAGCAGCCAGCAGTTTCTAAAGTGCCTCTTAATAAAAAACCCAACCACTGTACCTTTAAATCCTAACAGTTTTCTTTCTCCCATTGCTGAGTTCATTTTGTCCAACTTGAAAATGATTCTGATTTGCTCCCTTCTCTTGCTTAACTATATTATTTGTCCTGCTATTGCTGTGTACATACTTGCACTTCAATATTTTTTTGAGAAGTTAGGATTTTCTGAGCTGAGTAAGGTGGGTGTGGTAGGAAATTCTGCATAGGAAAAGCATATTAAGAGAATAATACAATTATTACCAAACTACCAGCTCAACTTGGCAAGCTTTGCTTCAGCCCTTACTGCCTTATTTTGGTTTTAGATGAAAGGATTCACTGTTTAATGTATAGTTTAATGTTAAAATATATAAGTTTTAGTATATAAGGACATGAAACAAATTATATTTTTATGTAAATATATTTTAAATATTTTCCAGAAAGCTGTAGAGGAACCACTTAATGGTATGTAGTTATTACAAACTTGTATATTCTTGATCTGTTATCAGATCATAATTTGAAATGGCCCTGGAAAAAGTTAGAATGCCCATCTATTTCTTGAGAAGGGTCTAGGGTTTGGTTTGGTTTGGTTTTTCCCTTGCATTGACCTCTTTTTCTTTGCTTATTCATTAAGAATCAGGAGTGTTGCTTTTGTAATATTCTCACCTCTGGGGAAAAAAGGATCATGCTTTGTCCCTCAGGGAGTTGGTTTACCTTAGCCAAGTGGTATTTGGGCAAGAGCACCATTGCCCTTTTATTTGGGGCCAAAATGAAAAGTGCCATGGCACCCTCTTAGAGGAGAATCTTATTCCCAATTTCTAATTTGTAAACTTCAGAAAAATGCAGGTCATCACTATAGAGTGAGACCAGACCAGAACATTTTGCTGTCTATGTAGATCTGAAACTGTATTCCCAACTGAATCTGTTTCCCTAGTGGATACTGTAGGTGTGAACCACAGAAATGCTTTTCAATAAAAATGATAGTCTTAAAGTTMATTTGGCTGTGTAATTGTAGAATAGTTGGCATGCTGTTGCTGCATGTTTATTTTGAAATGATTTCTAATTGTGGATCCTTACTAACTGCCTCTTTGGCTTGTTACTAACCCTTAGCGTTTAAAGAATCAAAAGGAATGATGAATGATGGTAAGTATAAAGTATTCCTGTAACTATAGATTGATTGAAATGTGGATATTGAAAAGAAATAAAAATACTTCTTGAAAATATGACTTTCTTAAATAAAAGGGACACTGTCAAATCATAAAAGTCCACCTTTCTTGATGGATAAAACTTAAATCTGTTTTGCTAAAAAACTTAAGAGTTGTAGGGCCTCAAGAATCAGAGTCCACAGTCACATGGCTCAGAGCAAAGTGTTTCAGATTCAGCACCTGGTATCTAACTTTAAAAATGCTTTTTATAAGGCACAGACATAATCTGGTACAAATCTTTATCATTTTTGACAGAGTCTCTTTTATGCTTATGTTGGTGATTTTGTGGCATCTCAACCATGGGGTCTTAATATCTCTATTTTTCCAAGCAGGAGCTGGTTCTGACCTTTTGGTAGAGAGTTACAGAGAAAGGCAAAGAACAATGTTTAGTCACTCCCACTTTCACTTCTATTTTTGGAACTCTAGACTAATAACCTCTAATCTTCATGGAATACTTCAAAGACCTGGATTTGTTAAATTTTAAAGATAACCAAATCTGAAACATCAAGTGCTGCTAGCGTTCATTTGGGTTTTCCCTGCACATGCTGCAATCTTCAGGTTCACTGGCATTTAGTAACTGTGTTTATATTTTTTCCTTATTTTCAAAAATGTCTTCACATCTTCGATATTTGCAATCATTCCCTGATTATGTCAGTGATTTGCTTTACAGTTTCAAAAGCCTATGACCTGCCCACTCACCTCTAAACAGCACAGCATTTAACACAGGAGGGTTTGTTCCCCTGGTTACAAAAAACTTTTGCATAAGATTCAAACACTCCAGTCGTTGTTGAACCAAATTTAAAACAATGTTTAGGCTTCTGTTCACCCAGGAGCCACTGAATGATCCCATTTCTGTAGGTTTGTGCCACAGCCTTTAAATCAGGTTTTGTTATGCAAGTCCCTAGCTCCTAGAACAATTATAGTTAGTAGGAAGAAATTAAAAGGCATTTGAAAAGATCCGTATCTGGAATTATGGCATCTTTATTCATGCTTAAATTCTGGCTTCTCAGCTCCTTTGTTCTCTCCTACTGTGGTGTCATTCTGTAGGAAGAARCTAAACTTTTCTCATTTTCAGAAAACCAGTATAAGATCCTTGAGTGGCATCTTTCTTTGTGAACTTTCCCTTGAGATATAACTTTTGCCTTGAATTTTTGTTTGTTCATAGCAGATTAAATCTACGATGGCCTTTGAAATGCGCTTAATTTTGTTAATATTAGCTGGTCAGAGTTTGTTTTCTGGATGTCTGTCTGGCGGGTTCTGTCTGCTGACACCGGCCTGATTAATGCTCCTAGCATATCTACCCTTCAGGGAAGAGGTCCCCGTCCCTGCCTAGGATGTTCCTCCTACCTACACCTATCATGTTTATTTCACTTACATTAGACAAATTGTGTAGATTTAAAGTTAATGTAATGGAATATTATTCTAGGATTAGTATTCTTTTCTTTGAAATATCAATATTTTGGCTTCTTTAACTCAACCAACAAACGGAGATTATCAGACTATTGATTTTTATTTTCATTTGGCATTGCCTGCATTTTACTTACCAAAACTGAAAAGGTCATTGGTTTGCCTGGCTTCTGTCTAAGGCCTTTGTGGAAGTATTTTCTTTATTTTGAAGATAATGTGTATCTAAAACAGTTCCAATTTTAAAAATGCATCAACTTCTTAATGCACAGGAAATAGACATGAGCAGTGACGATATGTTCGTGTTTCAATTTTCCAGAGTAACTGAAGTGAAGTGAAGGACTCTGGTTTGGAGAGTCATGGAACCTGAAGGAGTACACTTGTATTTAAAGACCCCGGCCTTGATGATTCACTCTTGGGAAGAAGAAAAAAAAAAAAAAAGAAAAGTAACTGGTACTCGTCTGTAAGAGAAAATAAGTCATTGACCCGTAAATGATTATCACAGTTTTTATTCAAAACAACTATAATTTAGTTAATAAAAGAATTATGATCTGTGTCGTGTGCCCGGTTGAGATCCAATTTTCTGTTATTTCTATTTAATTGGGGACAAAAGTAGAGGGAGCAACTTCCAAGGATGATACTTTCCATATCCTCGGGCCTCTCGACTCTGGGTTTAAATTGGTTCAGGGTGAGAATGACCTAACACTAACCTGATGGTCACCCAGAAACATCTGTGAAAATCAGTGGCTTCCATCCAAGCTTAGTAAACTCAGGTTCCCAGCATCCATGGCAGTTAGGCTGTTAGCTGAATAAGGTGTCTGCCACTTCTGGGTCGGGAATAATGACTTATTAAGTGGAGACAGGAATTTGGTTGGGAACATCTTGTATGCCACTTACCTGTGCTATGATGTCACTGGATATAGGGGTCTTCATTCTTGGGGGTTGCCATTCGCACAGTGTCCCTTCAGCCTACAGTGTGACAGATACTTCCCAGATGTGGGTTGCTTTTATTGACAGGTGTGTTTTTCTTTAATTCACACAACCCTTGGGACCCTTCCTTGCCCTCCTGTTACTCGCTTCTGCTGGACACGATGTAGCACCGTTTCTGAACGCGGTCCAGTGAYGCGGTAGCATCAGTTGCAGAAAGGAGCCAGACTTGTTTTCAGAGCACTGTGTTCACACTTTTCGGCAAAAATAGCTATGGTTGTAACATATGTATTCCCTTCCTCTGGTTTGAAGGCAAAACTCTACCGTGTTTCTTCACTTATTTTCTGATTGGAGGCATGACAAAAGCAAGACTGAAATCTGAACTATGAGTCTCCTGCATGGCAACCTTCTGTGTGTCTCCATCAGGCCGCGGGCCAGCCCTCGAGGGGGGCACTCCTCCTGTTGTGTCTCTGTTGCATGATAACCACTCATCCGCTTCCTCCTGTAGTCCTGCCTCCTGCTCCCCCTCCCCTGAGATTGAAAAGTAAAACAGAACCACATTTCCTACCCCAGTTAGAAGAAAAAAATAACGTTCTGACAGTGTGATCGCCTGGAGTACTTTTAGATTCTTAGCACTCGTTTTTTACCTCGTTTGTGGATGTGTGTTTGTATGTGCACATGTATAAGGTAGGCTCCTGCTGCTTCTGTAGGGACAGAAGTGCCGTACCTACAGGAGAGCCAGTGCTGACTTTGTGCTTTTAGTAAAAACATTTAAAAACAAAAGGTCCTTATCAGGTGGAATTATATTTGATGCAAATATTTGAYCACTTAAAACTTTAAAAACTTCTAGGTAATTCGCCAAGCTTTTTGACTGCTCACCAATGCCCTCTAAAAATACTAGTGATTCTTCCTGTTTGTGTAATGAGACTTTCATATTCGTAGTGCCATCACTGATAGTTATTTCTTAGTCTCCTGGATGTTTCCATGTGCCTCTTTTATGCCCAACTTATTGTCATATTTCATGTTGGGACCAAGTGGTTTGCCCATGGCAGACCTAAACTTATAACCTGCTGAGGCCCCTCAGAAAATTGAACACACTATCAAGACAGTTCTTCCCTGATTGAGTAGCTGTCCAAAATTATATTAGTCTATGGAGAGGGAGCTGTRTTCCTTTATACAAATCTAATGGCTCCTGCTGCTCTTCTCCTGGAAATATTTGCACTTTGCTAATATCGTTTGTTACTTTAGAAATTAGTTTTGATGAAAAGAGCAAAAAAAAAAAAAAAAGCAGATGGACTTGAAAAAGATTCAAATTCTTATTCTCCATTAAGAAAATCAGGTATGAAGATCTTTATAGTCAAATTTTTTAATGAACTAAAGTTGTACCTTTTAATATGTTGTAAACTCTCCTTTATTTGGGGTTCAGTCTTGATCTGACCATCTGTTGTGTTCTCTTTGATGCTACCTGCCTTTTGAGATGTCACTGGCCTAGACAATGCCACTCGAGGTAGCAGGGGAAATGCCAGATGCAATCAACTCTTGCTCTTACCCATCCTCTTCTCCAGCTAAGGGACCACAGCAGCAGCAGTCCTCCTGCCTGGGCATCATTGGGCCAGTTTATTCTCTTTAAATCAGACTTGTAATGGCTCCCAATTCTGTCACATCAGATATAACTTGCTAACAGTGTTTTGAGCATCATAGATTGTTTTGCCCCATAAGATGCTTTTTTACTCCCTGATCCCAATTTTTGCCATCATCTCCTCCATTCGGTTTTATTTATTGTACATTCTCAAAGTGACACCATTTGTCATTTCCTGCAACAACCTTTTCAGCCTTTTTGGCCAAATCACATTTTTCTTTTCCTTCAGTACATACTGCTCCAGCCCTTCCCCCCMCACACACTGGCTGTCCTTTGCAGTCTGTCCTCATCTGTCTAGCAGCCTCTTTCATCTCTTTCTTACCCTTCCTTAGTACTTCATTTATCTTGGCTTTAGTTCTGTTGGGGTTTTTTGTCTTGCTTTTCTCACTGGATTTTAAAATTGCTTCCATAGCAAGAGCTTCTCTCTCTTCCTTTCTCTCTTGCTGCTGTGTGCGGTGTTCTGCGTACATTAGATACTCCGTACATAAGTTTGATGATTGGCTGTATTTCGATTTCTCACTATTTTTAATAGGGTGAGCTAGAGACTTTTCTTTTTTGACAAATTGCACATGCTCGGAAAACCTTAAAGGGAAATGATTTTTTTTTTTTAACCTGGAAATTTCAGGTCCATTCTGTTAAAAATTCTTGAGAATATCAGAGTTAATTTGGCTATCCCATAATTGGGAGTATTGCTCTTTTCAGACTTCTCTTGCCAATTTAGTAAGTGTCCGACCGGATTGTGATCTAATAAAGCTCAAAAAGTGATAAGTTTGCTCCTTCATCTCATTAATTTAAAAAAGGCTACATCACCTTCTCGATGTCTGTCATCTTACAAAGGGTGTTCAAAAGTGGCGATAGGTGGTTTATGTCTGGAAATACATACCCATACCTTTATTTACCTCTTGTTGGAAACTGGAGAAATAATTGTCTGGCACCTCTTTACATTTTCTTTGTGTTTTATTTGATTGAGGGTTTATTTAGAAATATTAGTTTTGCATGTGTGTCTTATATTCAAAATCACTAACTGCCATCACCCACTGGGGGTCCTTTTAGTTTAATAGGGATAATCCAAGTTAACTTTGAAGAGATGAGCAGTGACCAGGAAGTTTTCCTGCCTTTAACTTTGATAGCTCTTAATTATCATCCTGTAAGACCAGCTTTTCCATAAATCCAGTCTTCTAAGGAAAAAAATAAAGCAAGCCTTTGTAATAAGCTTCTCTGTAAGACAACAGCAGTGGAAACTTCAAAGTGTTGTTATCAAGATTGGTGAGAGAGGGAAACATTTTTGTTTTTATTAAATGAAGCATTATTTACAAAAAGCCATTGTTAAGAAGTAGATCCTGCATCATATAAATATCCATTAACCATTCTCAATAAAGAGAACTCCAGTGTTGCTATGTGTTAGATGCTCTCTTGGGGGCTTTTTTGCATAGCAATTAAAGTTGTGCTCTTTGTCAGTAGCCATTTTTTTTTCTGCAGTGATTTAAAGACCAAAGTTGTTTTACAGCTGTGTTACTGTTAAAGGTTTTTTCTTTTTTTTTTATATATGTATTAAATCAATTTATCACTGTTTGAAGCTTTGAATATCTGCAACCTTTGCCAAGGTTCTTTTTTTATTTAAAAAAAGACATAACTTTGTAAATATTACCCTGTAATATTATATATACTTAATAAAACATTTTAAGCTATTTTGTTGGGCTGTTTCTATTCCGACAGCAGACCACATGAACATTTCTGAGAAATTTAGTTCATTAATATACCTTCAGTTTGTCCATATTCTATGTAACAATGCAAAGATTTTTTTTTAATGTAGTACCCAATACATAAACTTTTAGCTGCAGCAAAGTTCTAATTAGAAGTTGTAAGAAGTCAAATGTATTTGATAATTTTTAATTAATTTTCCCCACGGTATAGTGAAAACATCACATGAGAAAGAAAGAGACCTGGATTCTAGTCCTGGCAGTACTCTAACTAGCAGAGGACCTGGGCAAGCCTCTTGCCTGTGCCACAGTGACTGTGATTGCCTATGGAATAAGATAAGCCTCTGCCAGGACTAAACTATTATGTAATCCATTTTAATTGGTTGTTAGGATTATTTTTACTGCAAGTGAAAGAATATATATATATATGTAACCTAAAAATTCAGATGTACAACTGGATTCTGGACCTCCAAACCAAATCATAGGGAACCAGTATCTCATCAGCCTTCCACTTTTCTCACCTGCACATGGCCTTCTTTCCCAGGTTTCTGCGGTGGTAAATGACTAACTGCAGGCCCAGACCCACCTTTTCCCAGTCAAGGAGAATAGAGGGTGAAAGGAAAACAAAGGGGTCCTGTCCACCCAAGATTGCACCTAGGGCCTCTGACTGTATCAATGCCATCCCTCGATCACTGAGCCAAGCACCTCTCTTGCTGTGACTGGACCAGCCTAATTTCCAGATCTAGCCTGCAGTAGAGGCTGTATCTGCAGCACCCACACTGTGCTGAGTGGGGGAGGAAGGTGAGGACAAGTTCACCTGAAGCAAAGATAGGGGATAGTTCCTAGGTGCTGAGATGTCATTAGATTTGAGGCACAGGATTCCTAATCAGTGCTKCATCCCTTCAGATCTCTATTCTATGATTCTGCATTTTATGTGTGATTGTAGACCATGTGAATGGAAAATAACATTCGGCAGCAGAGTATCATCTCTTTCCTTACCTCATAGGCAATTTAATTTTTTATGCATTTACAAGGACTTTTTCATTCTCAGCAGGAGTAACTAATGGGGTTCAGAAAGCATTTAATGACCTACCTCCTGCACTGAAAACTGCTCTCTCTTGCACAGAACTGTACTCARCCTGATTAGAACTCCCACGGAGCTGTAGGCTTCCAAATGCAGCTGGATTTCACTTTTGTGTGGCACCTTTCCACCCCAAGGCGTCAGGTTTGACAACTTTGGTAAACAATGGGTTATGGTAACATCATCCAGGTAGGACATGATTTTGGCAGTAGCTTGGGGATTTGAGTGGCAGTGTTTGGCTATTTCAGAACTCACACACCCAGTCTTTATTTTTCATAAGCTTTAAGCTCACATACCCATCCATCAAATCAGTGGGAAATGAARTATTTAACCCTAAATTATGGATAATTTGACTGATTAGTTAATGTTGAAGACAGCACTACGGATTGCATAGAAGTGATCAGAACTGTACTACTTACTTAGCAAGTACTTATTTAGTCATGTAGTTAGCAGGCAGCAACTTCTCACCTCTGAGAGTGAAAAAAACAGGTATAGTTCCCCAATTTGGATGATGAGAAACTCCTGGTAAGCATTTCTTCTAATTTGGAGATAAATGTTTTCTAAGTCTGAAAACTGCAGTCTGCTGTCAGTCTTGATGACAGAATGGCAACAACACTGCCAGCTCTTTTAATGAGCAGCTATTACATCACCCRTACCATAGTAGTACTAGGCTTTCTAGAAGCCTCTACTGGAAAAAAATAATAACAATATTTGATCAGAGATCTGTCTTTAAAAAAAGAGAAAATCTTATAGTTTTGTTTCCAGATTTTATTTGGGTTGCCAGAGAAATTTCTCCATGTTAAAGCATGCTAAAGCAACATCCTATAAGCTGTTAGCCTTTTAAACAAATGGATTGTTTTAAAAAATTAAGCACRTTGCTTAAAATGCGGTATATATTTTCCATGGAGCTCTCTATTTTGGGGGGTGTATCAGTTAAGCTGCACTAAATTTAGAGTGAACTCTTATGAGTACATACATCGTCATGTATGCAATAGATTTTTGTGGGGAAATATAATTTTGGCATGTCCAGGGCAGCTGGAAGTACTAGAACCCTTGCTCTCTCCACAGCTGCCACCTCCTCCTCAGCAGGAACAGCTTATCCCACCTCCTTGGGTGAGAGCCCTGTGTGGCTCACCTCCAACCCCACCTCCTAGGCAGCTCTTTCTAGGAATGTTTCTCACTCTCCAAGGAATTTCCACCCCCAGATCAACCAGACGTTTTTAGAATGTGATGTTCGTAAGCCTCGCTTTGGCAAGTTAGCAGATGGATATATTTGGTTACCTGAAGAAACCTTACCTTATTGCAGTGTTAATCAAGTGTACCTCATAGTTGGATTGGTTAGACATAGATCTTGAATTTTYGTATTTTATAATCCTGGGCTCAATAGAACCCATGTCTCCTCACACCTTTAGCTATATGCCTAGCTTATCAATGGGAATTATTCTAGTAATGACTATGACTAAATGGAATGGAAAAGAATACCCTGGATCCTGTGCAGGAATATGTTTGAAAGCATCAAGTATTAATTTTTCTTACTCTTGATTAAAGAAAGTGGTTAAAAAAATGATGGAACCTTTATTCTTTAAGTCCATTGGTAGATCGTGGGGGCATTTATTACTTGTCTAAAAGAATTGTACTTGAAGTCATAGCCAAAACAATTCCAGTTAAGTTTTTTCAAAAGCATCACATTTAGTAAGATTAAATATTCTTGTATTATTTTTTGTGTCTCTGGAAAAGTATGAAATACCTTCTTTAAGAAAAACATTTGGTTAAAGGGTTTGGSTGGAGTTTGTTCACCACATCTTATCTTTTGATGTTCTGGGTAGAATTGTCTCTCTCTATTTTATGAATAGACTAGACTTACTAGAGAAACCAACAAGATTTTTGCCACTCCTCCAAAGCAGCTGGGATCTCCAAAGCACTGTAGAGCCAGTTTGCAGAGCCCAGGTGACCTCAGGGATCCACAGGGTCTGGTCTTTGCAATCCTGCAGGAAGGATTTCAGATGACCTGTGCAGAGCAACAGGCAGGAATATTAGAGAGGGTGAGAGTAGGGGACCACCTCTGGGGGAAACAGCAGCAGCTCTTACAAGAGCATGGGTTTTTAAGGGGTTTAGATCCCTTTGTTCTTGCCTTATTCTCTCATAATCCTGCTTGTGATTGTCCTTTGTTATTTTGTACAGCCCTCAGCAATTTTCTTTGTGAGGGTCGGTCCTGATGACCTGGTCATAAGAGGGGGTTATAATTATGGCTGGGAGAGGTTTGACATATCAATTCCCATTTTTTCAGATATTTGTTCACTCTGATAAAATTGTCCTGTGATTCTCATTCCTGTGACTTATGGACTCACTTTGATATGTATGTTTGATGTCTTTCCTGTAAGTTATCTCCCTTTATTTTAAAATATTGTCATCCCCCGCCCCCACCCACAATCTGCTGAAGGCTGACTTTCTACCTAACACAAAGGAGTCCTGAAGTGATAGGCCTCAGAACAGATTCTTCCTGAGAGATGGGGCCTCCAGGGAGGCCACTCATTTGCTTTAACTGTGCTAATGACGCTGGTGTTACCATTCCACCCCCACCTGAGCCAGTTAGTTGCTTATTTATGTGGTTCCATCCTGTTCCTCAAAGGACTTAAAGAGTTCCATTTGGGTCACGCTTGCCACTGAGAGAAACTGCTTCCCAGGATCACAGGYACTCTGAGGCTCCTGGGCTCCAGGGCATGGGCGTGGGAGGAGAGCAGAGCAGTGTGGGTAAACAGCTCCAGCAAAGCCTCCTCTCTGACTGCTTTRCTCAAAGCAATCAGGACACAGAGGTTGAGAGATTCATTTACTCATATAAAGGATTCTTTTTCATGTTTCCCTTGAGAAAYAAAGCCATCACAATAATTTTCACCATACATAGAAAACCAATATAGATTTAAAAATGAAACCTAAATTCCTGAACCCACACTTTGGAGACCCTGGATGCTTTCCAGATCCACCTGCCAGTGGCACAGGAGCTGATGAAACATTTTATGAGTCTATACCTGCCCCCCTCCTCCAGGGTATTTTTGTATTCTTCCAATTGGAGATTAAAAATGAGGTATGGCCTCTCCAGGTGAGGAGGGAGAGAGCAGCATGTGTTCTTCAAAAGAGTCAATAAGATAATAGATTTTTTAAAAAGCCATTGCTGAGTGTAACTTACTTAGAGTTTCAAAGGGTTTTTTTTTTTTTAAACAAATGAAATCTTTGTAAGCAATAGTCAAGAAATCTAGAACCCCTGGGGTGATGGTTAGAATCCTGTCAGGGATTTAAATCTAATTATTAGCCTGAAAGTAGAGAAAGAAGGGCCCAGTGTCAGCCCAGAAAACAATAATAGCCACGGTGTTGTTCAGCAGCCCAGTTACTAGAGCCTCAAAGGGCGGTCCCACACATTTGCTCTTATCCTTGAAAGGAGGCTACAGGGGCTTCAATGTTTCCTGATAATAGGTTGTTCTTCTAGTAGTACAGGTAGCTTCCTCTGCACCTAGATCTCATCCCTGCT